TCCCCCTTTTTTCCTACCCATGTGTGTCTGGGGTATGTGTGTATAAACTGTCTGAAATTTGACATTAGATCACAGCAGAACTATTTCTGTGAAGGTGTTTTATCCTTAAATTTCTGCAGGCACGAAGGAGTTTGTAGAAAATTGTTGGGCGTGGTTTAAATTTTTTTTAAAAAGTAACAAAGAAAATTATTTTTAATCTCAAGAGTGTCTTTATTTTTAATCTTTTTTGTTTGGTAGGTGGCCCAGGCATTTAATGTCATCAATTGGCCTATGTCGTTATGGTGGGAGGATTGACTGCTGCTGGGGCTGGGCTCGCCAGTCCTGGGGACAGTGTCAGCGTGAGTATCATGCCTGGGTACTTCAGTTTCCTGGGAGGTGGGGGGCTTTACACTATTGTTTGGGCTTCACTCCTCACAGCGAGGGTTAATTACTGAGCAGGGTTTGGCAGTGTGGGGTTGACGTGGGAGTTTTCATATACAGTCCCCAGCTCCTTATTCTGCCCCTTTCCATTCTGAGCCACCTGTATTAAGGTGCCAGCTTTGTCATTCACAGAGAGCCATCTAGGATGTCCATTTTAGCATTTGCCCCCAGTATCACCAACTCCTGTTTTTTCATCGGGTTTACTCATTTCTTTGCTCCAGGCTCTGAGATTGGGGTAAGATAATGAGTCTAGACTGTATTTACACTAAATAAACTCTGAACCTTACAGCAATTATAAAATCCTCACCCTAGCCATTGTGTAAAGGGGCCCATTTGTAAATCTTTTTTTGAAGTGAGGTTGTCTTGACAGTCTTCTAAATAGACCACCCAGAATAATAAAATGAAACCTCTGGAAACACATTATTTGTAAGTTCTATGAGTAATCAATCTCATGTAATAAGTGCCAAAACAGAACACTGATTTTTTTTAACCTTTTCCATGATTACAAATGGATGTTTTAATGGTAAATATCAGAGCCACATCACAAAAATTTGAAAAATTTAGGAAATTTGTTCCCAGCATTTCATCTGGATCTCAAAATTTTATCCCACTCCTCTGACAGAAAAGTCCCCAAATGATCAATTAAATTTCCGAGGCATCTTTAGAGTGCTAAGTGGGCACATCTGATGAGATGATGGCAACTAAGTTGGTTCTACATTGGGATATACGTTTTATCACTAATGAGGAAGGGGCTTAGAGGAATGGAGAAGCTGATAATTAAGAAGGCTAGACCTGGGAGTGGAGGAGCCTGCCTTAGAGGTGGGTTGGCAGTGTGAGAAATCAGGTAAATTTAAGTTCAGAAGAATTAGAAGTTTCCTAAGCTATTTTAGTTTTTGAGAATGCTTGTTATGTCTTCCTTAGCTTTGCAGAGGAGAAAGAGTGACAGTCACAGGCTGACTCTAATTGTACACTCAGGCTGTCTTTTCTGTGTGGGGATGGAAAGCTGAAGGACACTAATGTCTGTCTACCTGCTACATGCAAGGCACTGGGCTAGACACTTCCCATAGTTGGGCCATTGCATACTGTTAAAGGAAGATGGTGGTAACTCCAATTTCCAGTAAATGAAAGAACTAGGCAAAGCCACTGTGCCCTTACTGGTTAGTCTTGTTCAACATTGTTTTTAAGGGAAGATGGTTGAAAAGAAGGATGGTGCCTGGTGGAATTTAGTCTTCTGCGAGTTATACCACAGTGTCAGAAGTATTTGCACAGGTGTGAAATTTGAGGAACCATCAAGCTCCGAAAAGAAGGATGGTGCCTGGTGGAATTTAGTCTTCTGTGAGTTATACCACAGTGTCAGAAGTATTTGCACAGGTGTGAAATTTGAGGAACCATCAAGCTCTAATAACCAAAGGGTGAAGAAAAAACCCTTCTCTTAGCTCAATGTGCACACATCCCCTCCTCAATGAAAAATGGGTAGTTTCTTTGCAGGAATGGAGATAGTTTCCTTCCTCTTTGCTGCTTTAAGTTGCAGGAAACTCCCAAATGGAATGTTGAAGTGCTCTGAGGTGTGCACTGTTCCCCAGCCCCACCCAGGCGAAGGCTGTGCTGGCAGAATGCCCTGGGCAGCAGTGGAGTGCACCTCCCATAAGGCAGAGGCTTAAGGGTGCACAGGCTCTCCACTATGTGTGCTAGAAGAATTCCAAGGAGAAAACTCCTCCGATCTCTGAGAGGCTCATGGACTGTGGAATTCCCCAGGAAACACCTCTAAGAGCTGTTCTATTTTTCTGTATCATATAATTAAATTTCTTTTTAATATGAACTAGCTTGGCAATTCTGGATTTGAATGAGTGCAGAAACCTTTTAAAGTGATGGTGGCATTACAAAATTTAAATATCTAAGATTTCCTAGTGTTTCACTTTCTGCATAGTAGCTTTTCTAGCAGATACGGGACACTATTATTTTTTCATACCTTCATTTTGTTTGCAAAAGAATGTAAAGTGGTCATATATAGTATTTGATAGTATTTGTCTTTTCCCTCTTGTTCTTTCTCAAAAATCTGAGGAAAATGTAATATGGCATGAGTTTATCATTGACATGGTAATGTCATAAAAATTTGTAAGGTGATTTTGCACAAATGACATTTCATCTTAGATTGGTGAAAGTTTGAAAGGCAGCATAATGGAGGGGAGCATGGACGCTGGAGCTAGTCTGCCACTGTTTAAATTCCAGTTCTACTATTTGCTATGTGACCTTGGGCAAGTCATTCAGCCTCTGTGTGCTTTATTTTCTTCACCTCTAAAATGGATCTGAAATAGTACATACTTCATAAGACCATAACAAGGTTTAAATGAGTTATAATTTGTAAAGCACTTAAAACTATTCCTGATGCAGAGTAAATACTACATATGTGTTTGGTAAAATTAATGAAATGTAAAGGAATACTGCTATGGAAACAGTGTTGTGGGGTGGAGCATATCTGTGCTATCAGATTCTTTTGTTCATTAGGTATGATATATGTACTTTTTACATTTATACTACCAAAACAAAAATGGTTCCACGGTTCTCTGTGCAATAATATAAACATTCTTTAAATTAAAAAGGGCCAAATAGTTCTTTACCCTTAACATTGAAGATGAATGGTGAGGTTGTAAAAATGAGTTCAAGGGTAGATATTTCCTTCTGTGTGTTTTATTTTTTCAGAATCTTAGATGGTCCAAATGTCTCTTGTCAGTTCAGAGCTCTGCCTGTCTTTGTTTTGGTAAAAACAGGTGGAGGAATGTGGGGGCGAGAGGTCCGCTCAAAGGGGCAGAACAGCACCAAAAAGGATTGTGGGATGGATGGAATATCTCTGAAAACTGTTATTTTAAAATTTCTTAAATTTTACACACAATTATGATTATTTTACACGCAATTGATGATTATTTTTTAAAGAATGCCTTTATGAAACTAAAAGTTTTGTTACTACATTTATTCAAGAGAAATGCCTTGCTATTCTTTAACAATTAAATCTAGTAACAGATAACGTATAAAAATTCCGAAGAACTTCTAGGAAATTTAATGTAAAAAATGTTTTTGCCTTTGACCCTTAGATAGTCTCACAACTCTTTCCCATAAAGAGCACTCTCCCTTATCAGAGATCCCTTCTCTTTTTTCTGAATGATTCACTTTGGAATTTTCTTTCAAAACAGCACAGCAAAGCGAAAGGAGACTATTCTCACGTATGCAAAAAACCTCCCAATTTATCCCTAAGTAGATATGTGTATAAGCGGGGGAAGGTGGTATCTTCATTATATTATTTATCAGATCTTGTCCGCTAGTGCAGTGACTCTTTGGTGAGTGTCTATTCCATTTGGTTGAGCATTTGTGAGACGTTCTGACCCAATATTCACTTGTCAAGTATATATCTACACAAAACATGTTACATTTCATTTTCACTTGCTACCCTCTCTTCATGGGCTTGTCTGGAGAGACCGACTACCATGGCAGGGTGCTAGAGTTGCTTTACCTCCCCTTCTGACTCACTGTGTTTAACCACAAAGCCACATTCAGCAGGGAGACTTTCTGTTCTTCCTTCTGAGACTAAGGGAGAGATCAGAGATGCTACCCAAATGGGTGTAGAAACTCGCCTTCTTCCTGTCTGTACCACCTGACATTCTGTCCCAACATTCTTGCTCTGCTGGGGAAAGCATGACCCATCCCAAAAATAAACAGGTCATATCCTTGGCTTCTATTCTTTGATTCTTTGTTTTGTGTTCTTGACTAATAAACAGATTGTTAACATATTGGAAATTCTAAATTTGATTTTCTAATCATTGTGACTTTACCTTTATTGACTATTGATGTGTGGCTCTTCATTGTCAAGTGAAACTTTCTTAATATGTTCACACACTGAACTGGATGGTTACATATTTACAGCACACAGCACCTTAATCACTCAGAGATTGTCACAAAATATTTGTTTCTTGCTTAGTAATTATTCTTTTCCTTAACTCTTTCATCATCTTAATGGCACATTTCATTTTAATCATATTAACTATTTCTCTACTTCTATCAAGTGGAGACTTCTGTAATAAACGTATCTTGTTGAGGTTTGCACATTTTATTTTAAAAAAAACTGTGTATACTATGAAAATAATTCTTAACTAAAGCACTGGATAATTTGGGACATCTGGGTTCAAGTCCTGACTTCTGTACCCAATTAGCTGTCTAACAGTTCTCAGTTGCAGTTTTCTTATTTTACAAGCAGATTTCCAAGGTACATTGCAGCTCTGAACTCTGAGAACTTCCTTAATGTAAAAAAGAAGGATCTAGATATTGTATGCCTGTGTAGTTGTCTTTCTGTTTACTTGGAGATTTGGCTGTATATATGGCTTATTACAATAGAGTTTTTGTTGAAAGCACTTTATAGAGGTGTGAAGAAAAACTCAAAATACAAGTAGTTCCAACTTTCAACAAAGCTATTCAGTTTCTGAGTTCTTTGGCTGTCAGTGAGCAATTTGTGGTTTCTGAAGGAAATGATGTGAATTAGGATGGTTTTGTATCATTTATCCGTGAGACCAGGAGAAATGCAGATGTTATGTTTCTGCTGGAGATTTTTAAAAAATGTAAAATCTACACCTAGAGCTCGACTGCTTTATTGATTCTGGCCCTCATTTCCTCCTACTTTTTTTCTGAAGTTAGTAAAGGCTACAACTGCAATTGTCATGCAAAGTTATAATTTTGTATTCTTATTAGCTTTAGATAAACTCATAGGTTAGTAAAAAATAGGGCTAAACAGCAATTCATTCTGAAGCTATTTTGAAGTTGCCAAATAATTTTAGTTGGATAATGGATATTACTCGCTAATGATTATGGACACTGGAAAGAATGATGAATGAATTGTTGAATTATTTCTTTCAGCATTTCAAATGAAAAGGGC